CCCTTTGTTTCCTGTCTTTTAACCAGTTCTCAGTCCATGAAAGGATCTTCCCTCTTATTCCATGACAACCTAATTTACGTAAGAGCCTTTGGTGAGGGACCTTGTAGTTACGGTTATACTGAGTTTTGAACATAAGGTCTATATGTTAAATATGCATGTCCTCCCCCCTCCCCAAAAAAACTTGCTCTTTGAGTACATAATTTTCTGTAAAGTTACAAATAAATTGGGTAATTAATTTAGGAATTAAATGAATTGAAAAGGGGAGCTTTAAGAAACTTAGTGTCCAATCCCTTTTTATCAGTGAAAATGATTTAGTGGTAATTTTTCCTATTGTTGTATATAAATGAAAATATCTCATTCATGAGCTGATGATTACAATAGTTTATTTTAGTTCAGAGACTTTCATGAAGCACTACTCTCTTTAAAAATGGTTGACATCTATCGTTCTCAATAAAATGGAAGCTACAGCTGCCCTCAGACGGTGGCCATTTTGGGAATGGTGTACAACTATCTTGTCCTGCATGGGATTGAAAGTATCTGCCTCCTTACAGCCTGGGAAGCCATCATCTTCCCTTTGGGCAGTTGTGCCTTCAGTCTCATTGAGAACATTAGGAGTAGGTGGCCTTTTTGAAAGAGGGCAGTTCTTCATGACAACTATACTTTGTAATGATGAATTTCAGGGAAATATGACAAAAGAAAAATGCACTCTGTGCATAAGAGCTCAGTGAGTTTTAAGTATATGGAAAGTTTGAAGAGTTTGACAGGACAAACTTAAGTCACATTGGATGCCCTAATTGTACATTTGTGTACTTCTGGTAAGTTTAGATTTCTTCTAAGTTTAATCTTAACTGTACATTTCCTAAATTTACAGTACTTGGTTTTGAGATAATTACATCATCGCTTTAATGTACCAGAGGGATAGCCGTGTTAGTCTGTAACTTTAAAAAAGTTTTAAAAAATGTGTGGTCCTGGATCACCTTAGAGACTAACAAAAAATATTGATAGTATCATGAGCTTTCATTGGCACAACCCCACTTCTTCAGATGACAGATATGGAGCAAGAGGCACAGAGGGACAAATATAAAACAGAAAACGAGGGGAGAGAGGGAGAAGAAAAAACTTGTCAATTAAAGTGTCCATGCTAACTGAGGCTAATAGAGTGGGCTGTAAGTATCTCATACTTAGCTTTTGATGTCATTAGGGTACTGAATATAACAGCCTGCCCAATAAATCTCTTTGTTCAGTCTCTGGGTAAATGTGTCAAATTTGCATATGAAGGCCAGTTTCTCTCTCTAGTTGGTTCCTGAAATTATTCTGCAAGAGAATGCCACTTTTAAATCCATTAGTGAGTGCCTGGGCAAGTTAAAATGTTCCCTGACAGGATTCTGGGTGTTACCATTTCGAATATCTGATTTGTGTCTATTAATCCTTTTTTGTAGAGACTGTCCAGTTTGGTCAATATATATATAGCAGAGGGGCATTGCTGACACTTGATAACACATATCACATTAGAGGATGTGCAGTTATATGAGCCTCTGATGTGGTAGCTTATGTGGTTAGGTCCTGTAATTGATGTAGCTTGTATAGATATGTGGACAGAGTTGGCAATGGAGTTTATTGCAGGGATAGGTTCCTGGGTGGTATTGATATATACTCTCAACATTAATTTCATTTTAACATAGTTTTTGTCTGCGAATTATACTAAATATGAACATAAGTAATAAAGTTACATGAAAGACGTTAAAAATTTGATCTAAACAAAAACAGAGCTGAGATGGTCCTTCTATATTTTAACTTGCAGTTTGCCCATTTAGTTTATCATTCAAAATGATGTCTATTATCAAGAGACTGCTATCATAGAACCTTGCTGATCTGTACTAATAACTAATACCCAAGTTGTGGTAGTCGTAAGTCACCACTGTGGTGTCCTGACCGGTTTCCTGCTCCGACAATGATGATAACTGTTCATCTGTGTGTGTGTGTGTTCCTCCTGTGTGGTGTTGATTTTGTGCAACTAATCAACACAGTAGACTCCAAGACAGCTCCCAAGGACCAATGATTATTCCAATCAGATAAGGATTGAGGGTGTCCAGCCAGATTTATGGTCAAATAAAATACAGTAATAGTTGTCAGTAGAACCTCTGTGCATCTGTACCTCCTGACAATGGACCATCTGAGTCAGAGAGGTCCTCCTGCCCCCTAGGCTGGACAAAGACAGCTCCTCCAACACAACTTTATATATACAGGTACAAACAAGTTATACTTCATTCCTGATGTGTCAGTTTGCCACCCTCTGACGTTTGCCACCCTAGATACCACCCATCACCCTGCACCTCGTAATTTGATAAAAATGTGTCTATCCATCATGCTGTCATTTTAGATCCCTTCTTGAACCTGAGTCAGTATACCTGAGCCAGTATGTTATCTGTGGGGAGTGTGTGGGTATCAAGGTCCTTTTTAATGACGTGTTGTTACCAACCTTCTGACATGTGGTTTTAACCAATGCCCAGTACCAATTACTGTTTTAGAACCCATACCTAGTACCTAGTTACTGTTCTACACCTGGGTCTATTACCAACTAGTTTTTTACACTGTCAGCCCTATTCATGCCAAGTTCCATGAGCAGGGACCTGCCAATTGTTCATAGCTTACCCTTGCTTTATATTAGCAAAGTCTTGACCATTGTTAACTAGGCCTCATACCAAGCCTATGCTACACGAACTTTTGTTTCAGGCCCTCATCTTACTACACCAATTACAATTTTTTAGGGGGAAAAAAAAGAATTAAAATAATACATTATGAAATGCATATCATTGAAATCTACCATTTTGTAAGCTTTTGTAACGCGAGACCTCATAGAAGCACCCTCCACTTAAGCCTTTCCTAAGAAGAGAGGAGAAATCAGTTTTGTAGATACATTGTAAGGTGTCAGAGGGGTAGCCAAGTTAGTCTATAACTGGAAAAACTAAAAAAACAATAAATAGTCTAGTAGCACTTATAGACTAACAAAACATGTAGATGGTATCATGAGCTTCCATGGGTACAACCCACTTCTTCAGATGACTGGAGTATTAGAAGTCTTGATCCAAGAATAAATAAGGGAAGGCAGGGGGGAAAAGAAAAAAAGAGAAAAAATCGTGAATTGAATTTTTCAAGTTACAAGAGGCTGAGAAGAACAATTTCCACCTCTATAAGCCCCCATTGTTTGTTTGGCTGGATAAGTCATTAGGATGTGGAAGGTAGTGTGCGAGCCAGCCAATATCTTTATTCATTTCTCTCTGATAAGAATCAAACTTGTAAATGAAATTAAGTTCCAACCCTTCCCTGTGTATTTGTCTTGTGGAATTGGCCTGAAACATCACTGTGACTTTGAGATCCATTAATGAGTGCCCGGGCAGGTTGAAGTGTTCTCCAACAGATTTCTATATGTTGCCTTTCCGGATATCTGAGTTGTGTCCATTAATTCTTTCCTGTAGAGACTGTACAATTTGGCCAATATACATGGCAGTGGGGCATTGCTGGCATAGATCACATTAGTGGATGTGCAGTTGCATGAGCCCCCTTATGTAGTGACTGATGTGGTTTGGTCCAGTGATGAAATCGCTTCTGTATATGTGTGGACAGAGTTGGCACCAGGGCTGATTGCAGGAGTGGATTCCTGGATGATTGATGTAGGGTGTTGCTCGGTTATTGGAAAGAATTTGTGTGAGGTTAAGGGGTTGTCTGTAGGGGGGGATTGCCCCTCCCCCCACCCAAAGCCTGTGGGAGTGAGGGGTCATTTTCCAGGATAGGTTGTAGATTGTTGATGATGCGTTGGAGGGGTTTAAGTTGTGGGCATAGGTGATGACAAGTGAAATTCTGTTGTTTTCTCTCCTGGGCCTGTCTTGAAGTAGTTCATGTCTGGGTACTCTTTTGGCTCTGTCAATCTGTTTTTTCACTTCCCCGGGTGAGTATTTCAGTTTTAAGAATGCTCTGCATAGATCCTATAGGTTTTTGCCTCTGTCTGTTGGACTGGAGCAAATCCAGTTGTATCTTAGGTCTTGGCTGTAAACAATAGATTGAGAAGTGTGTCTGGAATGGAAGCTAGAAGTATGAAGGTAAGTGTAGCGGTCAGTATGTTTCTGGTATAAGGTGGTGGAAATGTGTCCATTTGTTAGCGAAATTCTGTGAATTTTTATAGTTTTTTAAATAAAAGCTTACATTGGGTGAGTGAACCCTTCAGATGGGATATAAGAGAATAAAACTATATAGATATTCCAGTGATATTACAATGGGTATTGTAAGGTCATTGCACTCATAGTTTTTCCACAATTCTTTCATTACTAAAGTAGGGGTATTTAACAGGAGTCACCAGTTTTTCATAGGAATACTGGTGGACTTAGTTACAAATACATATTGTGGCTCAGATGGACTTTCTTATATGGGTAGCCTGATGTAGCTCTCCTAATTTGAAATCACTGAATTTAAATATGGGGGCTAGGAACCTATTAAGCTTTCTCTGTCAATTGTGGACAGCTACTTACAATCTGTTTGCTAGTGCAATAGTCCAGTGTTTCTCAACTAGTGGTAGGAGTACCCTTAAGGATACTTGAGAAGTCTGGAGGGGTGGGGGGAGTATGTCAACAAAACTGAAATTTGGAGAAAACTGAATTTTTGTTTTAAGTTTTACAGCACTTTATTATTTTTGTACTTTTTACACTAAAAAATGTTGTTGCCCACCTGGCTACTATTAAGTTGTTTAAATAAATGTGTTGCAATGGTAGGACAAAAAGTGTGTCTGAAAACTGTAGGTACTGGGGGTACTTATTTATTTTTTTAAGGGGTACGTTATAAAAAAAAGATTGAGAAACACTGCAATAGTCAATGTAGTTTTAAATGTTTTACATGGCTGAGGCTTTCAATTTTTTTAGGGGAACAGTATACATTCCAAAGAAGGACAAATAAATTCATGCACAATTTACAGCACTTGTTTGTTCTAATAAAATACTATTCTCTTTCAGGTCTTTGGTCATTTGACTTGACTGTGACCCAGCTTCTTCAGGAGAACATTCCAGAATCAGAACGTGGGATAGTCAATGGTGTTCAGAGCTCTATGAACTACTTGATGGACCTTGTACATTTCATTATGGTTATTCTAGCTCCTCAACCACAACAATTTGGACTGCTGGTGATAATTTCCTTACTGTTTGTGATAACTGGGCATGTCATGTATTTTATTTATGCTAAAAAATATAAAATTAAAGAAACCATGATACAAAAAAACTCAGAGAGGAAGCCACAGAATCTCTCTGTCTGAAAGTCTCAGACTCTTTTTATTTTAAAATGATCTTTCATTCATGGATTATAGGTTTCTTGCATAAAAACATTAACTAAACTCAACACACTAGCGAAAATGTTCCTCTGTTTCTATTCTCACCCCCAAACACACTGTTATTTCATGAGAATTAAAGAATAATACTAAATGCAAGATTTTTTCCCCAAAATACTTCAAGTTGTGTTTTTTAAAAGGACAGTCTAATTTCTGTATCTGGTTAGTTTTTACCTATCAACTCTTTACAAGGACAAAGCTTATTCTCAGGGTTCTAGAGGAAAATGACATGGCAATTGTTTTCTCCTTTGTTGGCCCTATGTAGAGAACATTAAAACAGAATTCACAATTTGCACATCATAACCGCCCTTCTTAAGCAAATGATACTGTAGTTATTTTTTAACCACATCTTTTCCGTCACACCAGATAAAGCAACAGGAATGTATCTTCCTAGATAGTTTGTAGAAACCAATCGTGTTTACATCCCGCATATTGTATTCAAAGTATCACTAAGAAATACTATATTTTTTATTTTGGACTGGCCAAATACTGACCTCTGTATTACAAATACATATTTGAAATTTTCCCTGTAGTTATTATACAAGGTGATTTAGAATTTTTTTGTGGCACTTCTTTCTTTCCTATTTTCATTTTATTTTAATGGAAAAAAATAAAACGTAGCTCAGCAAACTGTTCAAACAAGTTAGTGGCTATATGAGCATTCATTTATTCACTAAAGCTTTCTTGAATGCAGTTTTTTTTTTTAAATAAAGTGATGTTTCAAATTTTAAATATGTGGCTATGTATGTTGGTCAAATTACTATTGGGTAATATGAGCAAAAAATAGAAGCTATATATATGGTTTGCTATAAAGACTTGTTCATGGCATCGATTTTTGACTTCCTAAGAAAGACGTGCAATGCATCTTAGTAGGTGCAGCATATGAGACTTGGATGATATTGGTTGTACTTCTGTCTCTGCCAGTAAGCAACTGGCAAGTCATATAATCTCTATGTGCCCATTTCTCTGTGGATAATTATATAGACCTGCTTTGGAAAATGCTTTGAGATATAAATAATAAGAAAACAGTGTGAATTCTCTTTTGTGAATAATGTGCGGCTGCTAATACAGTGAGTCACCCACTCCCCCTGTTAATGTCTTTATTTAAACACCGTTCTTATTCTGACACAGCACAACACTTGTCAAAGCAGCAGTTGTAAAGTGGGGTTTGTCGAGCATAAGAGTAATTAGAGTAGTGGAGAACTGGTGAGAGTACCATCCGCTATGAACACAAAAGACTAACTGGAATCTTAAGCTTCAGGGGGTAACACAGTTAATCTGTAGTGTACAGGATAAACTTAAAAAACAACAAATAGTCTGGTAACACTTTATAGACTAACAAAACATGTAGATGGTATCATGAGCCTTTGTGGGCAAAACCCACTTCTTCAGATGACCAGAGTTTTGAATTTTTGGTATCTTAAGTTACAGTAACTGAAAGTAACAAAAATTAGCTTCTAGTTCAAGTCTGCCCTCCAATGGTTTTAAAGGAACACTGCTTATAAAGAGTCACGTTGGGGGTGGAGAAAGAGAACCAACATAAAGGAAGTTGACATGACTTGTTAATTAGGAAGATTTATAAGTATTCACAATTTCACTTTTTACTATAGCAATTTGCTTTCTGAGAAGAGCTGTTTCCCAGATAGGTCATCGATATTCAGGTCTCATATAGCCTCCTCTTTAGCACATTATGTGCTTCTGTCATGCTAATGCTTTATTCCTTAACCTAATAAACAGAATTTAAAATAACCACTCTATGCATCCACCTACTCCATCTGAATGGAATGGAGGTAGTGGAAGTCGAGAAACTATTTTTCAATAATGTACCTATTGTGTCTAAAATGTGTTACACTATGGTTCCACAGCTATATATGAGGGTAAACGTATACCTCAGATGGGTAGCATCTGTATCTGCAAAAACAACTACGAGACATATGGCACCTTAGAGACTAACAGACTTATGAGGGAATATTAATAAGCTTATGCCCTGATAAATCGGTTTTGTCTCGAAGGTGCCACAAGACTCCTCATTGTTTATGTATACCTCAGATATTAGCATGTTAAAACAGACCCATGTCAATTTACTGTAGCATCCTCTAGCAATGGCCTGACATCTGATACATGAGTGGACAGGTATAAAAATCTTTATTATTTTATTTAAACTTATTTCAAAAAATAGAAAATTCCTTTTCCACTCCCACAGTGATTTAGTTTTATCCTAACACAAGTAAGAGTTCTTTCCTTCCTTCATTTATTCTTAATTAGCCTCTTAATTAAGATGTTGTCTAGGCTACACTTACAGATATATACATACATCTAGCCCCTATTTAAATCCCCAGGGTAACTTCTTTACATAAAGCTATCTGGAGCATCCATCTCCTCATCTAATCTCCTGGCTGTGGGCCTTGCATGAACAAGAAAACAGAACAAAAGTAAGGAATCAGAGGTTAATCCTGAAAGTATACTCACAATTAATGAGTGATATATTTGCAGCTGCTGCTTTGCTTACTAGTATACTTTGCAGCTTGTAAACAGTCCATGTTCTGGACAGAGATTGGTACAAAATTAGTAGAGCAGTCACAGTGACATTAACCAATTGTTTTAAGTTAAATTGCATATATAAGCTTGATTATGAATGTTGAAGGTGCAATATACCCTGTACCCACCTGCTACACTTGAGTCTGATCAACTCCAGTGTAGTTTGATTGATTGTATGCCAGTAACAAAACTTCAGTGACGAATCCAGAGTTGAGCTGATCTCCTGGATTTGAGAGAGCTGGATAAAGTTATTCCAGAACTGGAGAGGTGTTTTGGCTAAGCCGAGATGAAAAGGTCTTTGAGGAAATCCTAATGTTGTCACTTCTTCAGACCTAAAAGATGAAAAATTTGCTGGCTTTAATTTGCACTTAATTATAACTTACTGTTTGTCTTTGTAATATAATAAGGAAAGTGGCTTATTTTGGCCTTTCCAATGCCTGAAGAATTGCATGAGCTAGGAGAAGAACTTCAGCCCGTGTCGATAGTTATGACAATTCACCCAAGCTGAGATCTGACTAACCAACCTGTGAGATATAGGAGATTCATTTTGAATACATTTGCCTGCCCAAGCTCTGCAGTGGTTCCCCCCCCCCAAAAAAAGACCATGCATGCACATGCAGAATATAATGTTTTCATGGTTTAAGTCTGCTTGGTCTTTATGGCCATCTTATGCAAAAAGCTTTGATTTAGGAGTCAACATAGCGTTTTATAGGAAGCAATGGAAAGCACATGTGATTGAAGCTGCTGTCTTTTTATGTAGGCTTCTTTTATGCAAGCTTTTGAAATCAGATTACCAATGTAATACTTTACTTTACAGACACCCCCTTTCAATCCTATCTAATGGATTGAAACCAAAATAGCAGGTAAAAACAAGTACCTTCCCAGGGCCTTTTCAGTTCAAGCTTGGAAAAGGTCCCACTCAGATTTCCTAAGAGGATCTGTAGGGGAGGGGAAGGAAGGAGAAAGCTCAATATTCCTAAAGTTATTCAAACAAACAGTTTTTTTTTTTCTTGAGAGAAGATGGGGGGTGGCAAGAAAATCTTCGAACATGTTAAAGAAGCAAAAGTGGGCACACAAATGTTTTTCCTCTTTGCAAGTCATCTTTGTAGAACCTGTTGTATTACAATGCTTGCAAGGGCCCAACCCAAAGCTTATGAAATGAATAGGATTTGGATCAGGCACAAACTGCTGCATGGGGAGCGTGGGGCCCAAACGGCCGCTTGCGCCGCTTCCTCCTGCATGTCGGCCCGGCTGAGCAGCGCAGAAGTCAGCCGAGCGTCACGGCCGGAGGCAACAGCACCGCCCAGAGGGAACAGTCGGGGGCGGGGCCTGGACAAGCGTACATCCCCGATGGAGACAGAGGAGAGAAAGGGAGAGGGAGAAGAGAGAGAAAGAGAGAGAGAGAAGCAGAAGGCGGAGAAGAGCTGAGAGAGAAGGGGAGGTAGGAGGAGGAGGGGAGAGAGAGAGAGAGACCGGAGGCTCAGGAGTGAAGACCGACGTGGAGAAGAGACCTGAAAATCCCATCTTATGACAGGTTAATTGGCTAGTTCTGTATAGATTCCATACACTTCACCCAACCAAAAATTCTGTTATTTGAACAGGAACTTTGCTAGCATATGAAATACAGTTCGGACCTAAGATTTGCTACTCAGATATCTCAGTGGTGGAGATAGTATGGGAAACTAGGTAGATTATGAATTATAACCTCCAGATGCAGTACCAGCACCTCCAGTCAGAGCTCAACAACTTTTCCCCCTGGAGTATTGGCACTTTTTTTATACAAAAAAAGCACTGTGAATAACAAATACTTGAATATCTTGGTTCCTTCACAGGTGGACACAGAAACATTTGTAGTAACTGTAACAGTCTTTTTTTTAATTTACTAGCCTAGAACATGAAAGTGTCCTTTTAAAAATAACCAAATTCAAGCCATAGCAGAAAACCATCCGACCCAGTAATGCTCATTCCTAGTGCACTTGATGTTGCAAACCTTTGAGATCATTCTTTCACTTTTCCTATTCTTCCTCCTTCTGATACCTTCCCTCCCAGAACTTCATGTTCCATTTTCTGGTTACTGTAGAACTTTTTAGATGTCCCTCCCCGACAGCCTCAAAAAGTCTGTACTTCTTTTTTAAAGCAGTCTCAAAGGGAGGTATAGCTCAGTGGTTTGAGCATTAGCCTGCTAAACCCAGGCTTGTGAGTTCAATTCTTGTGGAGGCCATTTAGGGATTTGGGGCAAAAATTTGTCAGGGATGGTACTTGGTCCTGCTGTGAAGGCAGGGGACTGGACTTGATGACCTTTCAAGGTCCCTTCCAGTTCTAGGAGATAGGCAATCTCCATTAATTCTTTTTTTATTTTTGCCATGTTTAGTCTGTAACTTAAAAACAATGAGTATTCCTGTGGCACCTTAAGGCAGGTCTATATTGAGGAGTTATTTTGATTCAACTCCCCTTATTTCAAAATAACAAGGCAAGCATCCACACTACCAAACCTGTTGTTTCAAAGGATCAGGCTTGTTATTTCAAAATAATAACTCCTGCTTGCGAAGAGGAATAAACTTATTTTGAAATAGTTGTTTCAGGAGTTATTTCAAAATAACCTGGTAGAGTAGACATAGCCTGAGGCTCTGGCTACACTGCCATTTTTTTTGCTAAAGATATGCAAATCATGCTCACATTTGCATATCTTCTGATTCTTTTTGCGGAAGAGGTTTTGCCAATAAAAGGCCCCAGGTAAACGGGGCCAAATGTTGGGGAAAAAAACCCTCTTTCGTAAGACCCTGTAAACTTTGATTTATGAGGAATAAGGGGTCTTACGAAAGAGGGTTTTTTTCCCGCAACTTCCAGGCTGGTAACTATAACAATACACAGCACCTGAATGAATGGATGAATGAATGTTTATATGTATTAGGAATAAGTAGTTAAACAACGTTGTTTGCTTCTATCTTTTCTTTATTTTTTATTATTATCTTTACAATAAATGTGGCTTTTTGCCTTATCCCCCTCATAAGATCCTGCTTGCTTTTATTTGGTACAACATAGTATCATAAGTATATAGTTTCATAAGTCTCAATGTCATTGTAAATGGGAATTCATCTCTGAAAAGTTTCAGAGGGGTATCTGTGTTAGTCTGTAACTTTAAAAACAAGGAGTAGTCCTGTGGACCTTAGTATCATGAGCTTTCATGGGCAAAACCCATTTCTTCAGATGAGCTGACTGAAGTTGGTTTCACCCAAGAAAGTTCATGATACTGTATATATTTTTGTTAGTCTGTAAGTTGCTACTGGACTACTCATAATCTTTTTAAAATTAATTATGCAACTGAAGTGCAAATACTTTCATGTAGCAGTATTACCGTGAGTTTTCTCATTTTAGCATCATCTTGTTCGTTTGTCTCAGGGTATGTCTATACTAGCCCCCTAGTTTGATCTGGGGAGGCTAATAAGGGTGACCAAAATTGCAGATGAAGCACGGGATTTAAATATCCCGCGCTTCATTAGCATGTTCCTGGCCGGTCGCCATTTTAGAAATTGACTAGCCCAAAGTAACTGCCCACGTCTACATGCGGCAGTGAAACGGGATTCCGAATTAAAGCCCTAAATCAAATTAACTGGTAAACCTCATTCCAGGAGGAAGAGCAGCTAATTCGATTTAGGGCTTTAATTCGGAATCCCATTTCACTGCCGCATGTAGACGTGGGCAGTTACTTTGGGCTAGTCAATTTCTAAAATGGCGACCGGCCGGGAACATGCTAACGAAGCGTGGGATATTTAAATCCCGCACTTCATTTGGAATTTCAGTCGCCCTCATGAGCCTCCCTAGATCTAACTAGGGGGGTAGTGTAGACATACCCACAGAGACTAGAGAATGACAATTACAGTAAGTGAATATTGAAATAAAGAACTGTGCATTTTAATACAATTTTTGTTTTTCAAAAGCTCCAATTCCATATTCTTATTATATCAAAGCACATGTAGGCCATAATTATATAATATAATTTTATGTACAATTTTGAAATGCAGTCAACACAATTTCAGTGCTTTATTTACACAGTCATTTTAAAAGTGTATTATGTCAACACACTATACCAAGAGATGGATTATATAAACACTGAGGCTATGTCTAGACTACAGGTTTTTTTTTTTTTTTTTAAAGTGGCCTTTTTTTGAAAAACTTCATCTGTGTCTAGATTGCCACTGCGTTCTTTTGAAATAAAATAAAAAAAAAATGGTGGTTTTTTCGACAGTGGTAAACCTCATTTTATGAGGAAGAATACCTTTTTCGAAAGAGCTCTTTCGAAAAAAGGCATTCTTGACTGCAAAGAGGGCTTTTTCGAAAGAGAGCATCCAGATTACCTGGGTGCTCTTTCAAATAGCGGATTGCTTTTTTGAAAAAGTTGTGGCTGTCTAGATGATCTCTTTCAAAAAATCTTCTTTTGAAAGAAGCGTGTAGTTTAGATGTACCCTAAGGGTACATCTACTTACCAGTATTATTTCAGAATAACTGATGTTATTCCAAAATAACATAGTCTGTGTCTACACTACAAGCAGCTATTCCAACATGTTGAAATATATTTCAACATGTTTCAACTTTTTACTCCAACTTCTGTAACCCTCATTTTACGAGTAAGGCTATGTCTAGACCAGTGGTCCCCAACCTTTTGAGGTTGTCAGGCGCCAGGGGGCGTGGCCGTTTGCCCGCCGGGCGCCAGGGAGCGGGGACACTTGCGCGCCCGGGGGCGGCCCCCCCCATATC